CAAACTTGAGTTATGGAACTCTGTGCTTGTTGGTTGGATCAACATTTGCCCGTTGTTTCTAATGGGGTAGCTTTCATCATGTTAGCCTGACTGTTGTGTTCAATTTTCTGCATTACAAAAGGGGCAAAAAAGACTCCGAAAAGACTAACGATGTGATTCTAAAATAACACAGGAGTTGTGGAAAGAGATGGACACAAACCATGGGCAACTGCCCTTATAAGGGATCAAATATGTGAGGTCAGTTTCAAATTGAGGAAGATTTCTTAAAGCTCAACCCAAGGACTCTATGGCAACAGCTTGATTGCAGGCTCCATGTAAGCAGATAGAAGGGGAATGTTATGTCTCTCCTTCTCTTTCTAATCCTTTTTGGGTATGTTTGTGGCTGTTTGGCAACCAGCATTCCAACATCATTACAGCCCGGGCATTGAAAGCTAGTCTGTTCAAGACTTTACCTTCTGCAGAGCCGAGCAAACCTTGTCCACAAGCTGTTAGTCAGAGCCCAATGATTGTTCTAAAGAATGAAATGTGAAATGTGATTACAGCTTTTTGAATTCAATAGCTGAATTGTTCACTTTCTAAGCTTCCTTGAGTGTTTAAATGAAAACATGGAATTGAAAGGCAGCTGTCTTTCTTGAAAAACAAAAACTTACAGACATCACTGGACATCCTTATGGTTATAAACCATAATTGTCAATCATCAATTCAATTTATCAATAAGGTATCATATTATAAGAACGTCTGGGACAACGCTATCTAAATGTAGAGACTCTTTTCAGTGTTGGCAAAATATATATGCAGCATTGAAATCAGAAGATTCAATATATAAATATCAGAAAATAAATGTTGGAATTGATATAAAAACAAAAATTGTTAGATATCATTTAACTTTATATGAAGCTAACTATGAATTATTTGCAATTGGATACTGAATGCGTGCTACCTTGCAATTTTGATAACATCTATAGAGATGTTTTGGAGCTCCTGGAGAGTCATTCCCAGTCAGTAGACAATTCCAAGCTAGATGAACCAATGGTATAAAGCAGCTTTCCTTTTTTGCCCTGACCTTCTATATTTCCCGCCCACTTCCATGGGGCTTACACATGAAAATTCACACAAGGATTGTGCCAATTCATTTGTAAACGTCAATAGATTGTTTGTTTGTTAGTAAAGCCTGTAAAAGTGAGCGTCTGTGAAATGAAGAAATAAATATGCTCAAATTAGACTTATTAGAAGTAAAATGTTTTTGTGCAGTCCTAAATGTACTTGGTAGAGATGGGATTGAGCCTCATAGAAGACCGTGGCAATTACTTCTGAATAGACACACAGAGGATTGCAGTGTAAGTGGGTTTTGATAAGTTACATTAATTATTATGTGTGTTAATAAGTTTCCCAGGCTGGCAGGTTGATTAGCATAATATTTCTCAATAACTTGTATTTTTTTCTTTACCTTGAATTATAAGGAAATGATCACTTTAAAAAATTTAGCTGATAATTATCAACCAACAGACAAGCTTATCCAGATAAGAACTGTTCTTCCTGTATTACAAAAGTACAAAAAAAATCCCTATTTCATCTTGTTGGAGGCGCATATGATTCTGCTTTGTGATTAAGGTGTTGCAAAACTATGGGGCTGCATAAAATATTGTTTTCAAAATATTAGCTTAATTATACTTTTCTGTGGGGGGGGGAGGTCAAGAGTTACATTTATTCATGTTACATGTTTTTTCAGGGGTGTTTCTGTAATAGATAGACGAGGAGGCGATAAATGAACAAAGAGTCACAGAGTGAATACCCCAGGGATGCCAAACAAGTGAATATTAATTAAAATCAATAAATAATTCAGAAAACGCTTATGTATACTCTCAGCTGAAAATAATGAACTCAATTACTCACCAAGGAACTGTACCTAAATAATTTCTGTCTGACTTTATTCAGGACAGTTAACCAAATCATAACTAGCACAGGGAGCATTATGGCGTGGCACTTTCCCCCAAAACCCTCTTTTTATACAGTTTGCTATTTGAATGTAACAATTCAGTAAAAATATCTAAAAGATTTGGCCCAAAATTTTAATTTAATTTTAATCATTCCCACCCCACCTAACCCTTCCTCGTAAAACTATATCGCAGAATTGTAGCATTGGAAGGGACCACAAGGATCACACAATGCAGGAATCGTGTGCCCAACGTGGGGCTCAAAACCACATCCCTGAGATTAAGAGTCTTCCTTTAAGTGTCCTTCCACCCTCCCAAGCACCCCAGCCCTAGGATCTCCAAGCCACAAAACTCATAAAACCAATGAACAAATAAGAAGTGCGGAGTGGAAGAGAGTAGATTAACGTTTCTTTAAAATTAATTGAGTCCGACCCCTTGCGAGCAGCCTTGTTAAATCAGACTTGGCATTAGCAGTGTACGGAATTACATTACAGCATTTCAAAGCTGTTTAATTCCCACTCACCCCCGTGCAAAAGAACGGCAGTTTGCTTGGCCACACCTAAGGATTTAGCCTGCTGGCAATTCTAGTGCTCTAACAAGTTTAAACTAGAACTAATCTAATATCCAGGATTAGTAAGCAATTCTTCATTCAGACTATTCCCTAAATAGGAGAAAAATCTGCATATAGTTCTTGGCCAGCAATTAGTTTTGTGGAAATCTGTATTTTCTTCTCTTGGCATACTTAAAAAAGAATAATAATAATAACAGAGAGAAAATCTCCATTGTGCTCACTTCCCAAATTTTCTAAAATTGTAATGATTATACTAATATGACTAGACTGAGACAACTTACTCAACATACCTTCTATTTTCCCATGATCTAAAATAAGCACAGTTAGGATCATATATCTCAGTTATGGGTGCATGCCACTGGTTTGCTTGTATATAGCACCTTCCACCCATAATGTGAAGAAGTCTAATGTTTATCAGAAACATAACTTCACAGATGGTCCTTTTAAAGCTATGCACTTGATATTTGAAAATATATTTAGGTCTCCAAGTTTCAAAATTCAAGAGACCCCCTTTTCTGAAAATAATCACCAAGAATATGACATTTCCAACAATTACTGCTTATTCAGATAATTCAGTCATTGTGTATTACACCTTCAGGTAACTATATATAACTTCCCATTTTAAAAACCTGTGCATTTTGATAGAAGTAAATTGTGATTTACATACAGAAACACGGTTCTGTATCCAAGTGGCCAAAGCAGAGGAGAAGAGAGATTCCTCATATCCAGTGGCTCCAATTGTACACATAGCTCTAGCCACAATCAAATAATGGTGGAAACAATTAATGTGTTGGGACAGGAGTTGAACTCAGAGCAGGTACACTCTGCTCACAACCTTGCCAATTATCTCTTCAAGAAGGTAATGGATTTGCAACAACTGCTGCTTTCACATATGTCTGGATTGGGGCCATTAAATAAAGGTCAATCCAAATTGGTTCACACATGTATGTTTTTTGCTTGCAGCGCTGAGTGAATTGGCTTTCAGAGATCCAAAATCACTTTAGCTCCAGTCCAACGAGCTATAAGCATCAAGTGTTGAGAAAGCAAGTATTTTTGTAAATGCTTTGAGATTTTTTGCAATCAAGCAGTGTATGAATTTATTAAATAAATAGATAAATAAATACCGGTAGATAGATAAAATAGGACCATGCAAATGCATTTGGGAGTAAGCCCTAAACCAGCTTGCATCCAGAATTATGATTTGAGTGTTTGACGTATACAGATTGTACATTGAGCAGATGTCTGATCCAAACACATTGATTATCAGGGAAAGATTTCTTCTGAAATAATCAAGAAAATTCACTCCTCCACAGGCACTAGAATAAGGTACCAACTCAGATTTGGTACTTCACTGGCAATGATGGACTTTTGAAAACCACAAAGAGGATAGCTTCCAGCCAGTTAGTTATATCAGGTTAGTTTTAAAATACTTTGCAGCCTGGTCCTAGGTCTCTTTACTAAAAGCAAGAGCATTCTGTGGGGTTTATTCCTATATAGACATCCTTCGTCCTTTGGGTCAAACTCAGCACAATGAAAGCAGTTCAGCCCTATGCCCATGCTGTTAACATATCAAATAGACTGTGAGATCTTAGTCCGACATCAAAAGGGGGCCAAGCATGAGTGGGGGAGAACCACCCCCTTTCCTTGTCTCATTTCCCCATTGTTAGTTGTGCAAAGTTGCGCCTTCCCATTTTTTCTCCAGTTCGAGGACTGGAAGCTGGGAAAGAAAAGAGCATAGTGGACCACAGGAAAGGAAAGGGAGAGCTCAGTTTCCCTCTGCCATAGGTGCCAACTCCCTGGGGCCCTGGGTGCCTGAGCACCCACAAAATTCCCCATGAAGGGGCCAGGCACCCACAGCACTCCTGCCCTCTGCTGTGCACTCCTTCTAAACGGAACCCATATACCACAATTTAGATGTGAATGAGAAGGACATGCAGCTAAAATGCCGCAGTGGCTGTCACGTCTAGTTTGAGTCTAAGAAAAGCCCTACTGGATCAAACCAAAATCCATTCAGTTCAGCTTCCTGTTCCTGTATTGGCCAACCATATTGCCCTATGGGAAGCCTCAAGGCAGGATTTGAGTGTGACAAAACTCACCTTGCTGGAAATTCCCAGCAATTGGTCTTCAGCAGCATACTGCCTTCAAGGAACTTAGCCATGATGGCCTGTAGCCCCAGATAGCCTTATCCAGTGCCTTTTTTCCTGGGGCTGCTCAAGGGCACTCAGCACCAGCACCGTCCCCCCCAAAACGTTAAAAGTGTGGCACTTACTGTAACAACTTCATGGTGAGTACTGGCACCTTTCCCCCTAAAAATAAAGCACTGGCCTTATCCTCAATGAATTTGTTCCCTAACTGTTCCAGAGTTACAGGGGCACCAAATATCTCATTTACAATCACCAGAGGATCTGATGCAGAATCGTGGACGTTAATGCAATTCACCACAATAGTTGCGCAACCCCACCCTCTTCGTGACCAAATGCATTTGCTTGACTTACCAATGGGCATGATGATAAAGAAGGGGAGCCAGCAGAGTATGAAGCATCCCACCACAATCCCCAGACTTTTAGCTGCTTTCTTTTCCCTGGAGAACTTCAGGAGCCTCACGGAAAAATTGGATTTGTGCTTGGTGCTGGGTGTTGATCCAGTGGTTTCTGTGGTGGTTTTGCGGTGGATGCGAAGAGTCACTTCCTCTGAATGGGACTTCTCTGTTTTCAGGCCGCAAGACAGTCCTTTGCTTTCCCTTTTTGCCACCACATAGACCTGGCAGTACATTGCCAGTATGATGATCAAGGGGAGGTAGAAGGAGCCCAGGGCAGAGAATAAGACGTAACCAGGGTCAGTATTGATCTGACAGATGGTTTCATCTTCTGGAGCTGGCTGTTTCCAGCCAAAGAGGGGCCCTACTGATATCACAAGGGACAGTACCCAGACACACACAAGGGCTAGGAGCCCCCTCTTTTCAGTCACTATGGCTGGATATCTTAGCGGGTAGCTCACCCCAATGTATCGGTCTATAGAGATGACACAAAGGCTCATGATGGAAGCTGTGCAGCATAGAACATCCACAGCTGCCCAGATGTTGCAGAAGATCCTCCCAAAAACCCAATACCCCAAAATCTCAAAAATAGCAGAGAAAGGGAGGACGGTAGAAGTCAACAGGAGGTCAGCCACAGCCAAGTTGATAATGTAATAGTGAGTTACGCTTTGCAGGTGCTTGTGACAGGCTACTGACAGGATAACCAAAATGTTACCCAGGACTCCAAAAACAATCAGCCCCCCCAAGATAACACCTAATAATATGGCTTTTGAAATGTTTACTTCCTCCACAGGCTGGGTGCAGTTGAAGCAGTCAGAGGCAGAGATGTTCTCGGAGTTCAAAGCCATTATATCAATACTGGTTAATGTTCATCCAGTGTTGTTTGTGATTCACTCTGCCCTTTCTTTGAAAGAGTGAAGAACAAATATTTGGTAGTGTTGCAAGAAGCTTTATTTCCACATTGTTGATAAAAACTAACTGGAAATGTGGTTCTTGCTTTATAAATGCAGAACCTGGAAGGACACCTCTGACTGGGAAACTTATTTGAAAATCCACATTTATTCCTTGGTATCTGTTCCAGTTAGGCCAAATAAAAATACTGCTGCAATTTGGAAGACTCTCTTTAGGACACTCTCTTGATGTTCTCTCCTTGTAGGGTGCTTGATGACACAGTATTGCAGAAGGGGTCAAAGATCTTTTTCCAAGTTTCTGTTGGGCTGTTAAAAAAAAGAGCCATCAGGTTACAGAATGCTTTCTGCCACTAAGCAAGGAAAATATGTTTGGGTTTGTAGCAAAGGAAAATATCTGAGTTCGTGGAAAGGCCATCAACATCTGAAGTGCGCCCATTTAAATTTGTCTCATTAGACACAAATGGCAGGAACATTCTCTTTTCTCCCATTTATTTGGGTCTTTATCATACTTGATTTTCAAATATGTTTAAAGTTGGAATAGTGGAAGACCACAAGGATGTTTCCAATTAAGCTTTGCTTTTGTTATCATCAGAGATGTGCATCACAGCCTTGAGATGTGGAACAAAGTTTGCTGAAGCCGTAAGATTCTCAGCGCTGTGCCAACTGCCTCCAGGATGTAAGCTTATTAACAAATGTTGGTCATAGCTCCAAACAGGGACTTCTGCTTGTTGTGCTCCTTGCAGGATAGATATGCTAACTCCTAAATAAGAAAAAAAGAAAAGGAAGCTTATTTTAAAAACCATGGCTCCCTGCTGCTGTAATTTCCAGACTGCAAAGGTTTTCTGTGACCTGGGAATCAACTTGACTGATTTTTCCTTATCATCTGCAGCACTAACTTCTGTTTACTAGTATATTGCTTGCTAAGTAGATGCTGTTGCTCAACCCCATTGTTTTTGACCAATGGTGGAGCATCCCCCACCTGTGTCCGGAGCAGGTGCACACCAGGGCACATGCAGGGCACGCTGTGGGAGCAGGGGCAGGGCGCACCACAGGAGGGACCCCAGCCCACTGCTGCAAAATGGGATGAGTTCACGGTGCCCTGCAAGCCCAGTGTTGCTTTGCAAGACTCACAAAAATGGGCTTGTTGGGTGCTGCGAGCAGGCATGCAACTCGGTCCTGCAAACCCAGTGCTGCTTTTGGAAGCAGTGCTGGGCTCGCAGGGAGGGTGCCGTGAGCTTTTGTGTACTTCTCATGGCATCCTGCAGTTGCATTGCGGCTGAGAAGGGCACAACAGGGCTGTGCCTTGGTCCCTGTGAATGCAGCACTATGGCACTGCTTGCAGGGGCCAGGGCGCATGCCTGTTGCCTCCTTCTCAGCTGCCCCCCAGCTGGAGGGCTCCGTGTGAAGGATGCAACAGCTCAGGGCACCCTCCCAGCAAGCAGAACCACTAGGAAAAGCAGCGCTGGGCCCACAGGGGCCAGGGGGCACACCTATTGCATCATTCTCAGCTGCCCTCTAGCTGGAGGGTGCTGAGAAGGACGCAAGTGCTCACAATGGGGCAGGGCGCTAAATGGCACCAGGGGCAATGGCCTCCTCAGCCCCCCCCCCCACATTACGCCATCCTTTCTGACTCTCAGTGCAAGAATGCTATTGCTGCCTGGTGGTTTTGTCAATCACAACCCTGCAGTCTCAATATAGGGACAATGCCACATATTTCAAAAGACGTCTCTCCATGTTTTCCTTTTTCATCTGATGAAGACAGAAAAGCTTGTGGCTACACAGTGAGAACAAATCTATGGACATTTTCACACTACAGGCTCAAAGTGATTTGTAACGCAGACTAGCAGCTGGAATTACAATGATCTCCCACTTTCTCTTCCACATTAGCAATGGTCCCACATATGCATAAATAGTGGGTGAGATAGACTTTACACTGATTCAGCTCTTAGATACGAATCTGCCATGGCTACTCTGTAGGGATTTTTCCAGCCTGGATTTTCTTTTTACAGCCTATGTTTTGTCCAGGCAAGAAGGCCTGATCCATGCTAGGGATGACCCCACTATCAATACTTAGATATAGCTCTGTGCCATATGTAGAATACCTTCAGCACTGAGTAATGAGTGACCACCACCAGCCCTTGCGCATAAGAGAAGGGCACCGTGGTTCAATGACACAGCAAAATCAGAAGACCCCTGCTTCAATCACTGGCATCCCCACTTAAAATGATCTGGTAGCACATTCATGATAAAGACTCCACTCTGATTGAGACCATTGCCAGTCAAAGCAGAATAATGGGCTGAATGGGTAAATTAGTCAAACTATGGGCAGTATCTAATTCACTCATTTCTTTACCGTTTTGTCTGCATGGGCCAAATTCGACAGGTGAGTGGGGCCACCCATCTATCAATTTTCTGATGTCACAAATGGCACCAGGGGATTTGGTGCTCTGAGGTCCCGAAGTTGGGGCTTCAAAAAGCACCAGCAGGCAGCCCCTCTTTTTTTCAGCAGCTGTTTCACTGAAACCCCCTTTGCAGTGAATGAACTGCTGAAATGAAGGCAGAAAATACACCCAGACCAAGGAAAGGTTGTCCTCCTTTCACATCAGCTGATGGACAGGGGGAGGTTGCTGGGTGCTGGGTTTGGGTGCTCTCCCATATACACAGATCAAGCAGGATCATTTGCTGTTGGCATCAATTGATGTGTGTGTGTGTGTGATCCTGCATAGCCCTGGCCTCCTGCTCCACGAAAGAGTCAATCATAGTCATAGCTTCCACCAAAGAGTCCTGGGAACTGTAGTTTATCCCCCAATGAATTACTTTTCCAAGCACCCTTAACAAATTACAGTTCCTAAGATGCTTTGAGTTAAGTAATGTTCAAAATGAGCCTATGATTAGGGTGTTGGGCATTCATAGATCTAATGAATAACTTTGGGGTACATGTGAACCCCAATGGCCCTCTTTTAAGAAACTAAAGCAATGGTATAACAAATAAGGTAAAGGTAAAGGTACCCCTGCCCGTACGGGCCAGTCTTGCCAGACTCTAGGGTTGTGCGCCCATCTCACTCAAGAGGCCGGGGGCCAGCGCTGTCCGGAGACACTTCCGGCTCACGTGGCCAGCGTGACATCGCTGCTCTGGCGAGCCAGAGCCGCACACGGAAACGCCGTTTACCTTCCCGCTAGTAAGCGGTCCCTATTTATCTACTTGCACCCAGGAGTGCTTTCGAACTGCTAGGTTGGCAGGCGCTGGGACCGAACAACGGGAGCGCACCCCGCCGCGGGGATTCGAACCGCCGACCTTTCGATCAGCAAGCCCTAGGCACTGAGGCTTTTACCCACAGCGCCACCCGCGTCCCCGGTATAACAAATAGTTTACAGTAAAAGCATTTCTAGAAGTTTGAAAACAGTGATTTTCACTCTGTATGAGAGTTGTGTACACTCCAAGTATTGAAACAGCATGTGCACCTCTCCAAGTAAGGAAAGAGGACATATTCTCCAGATGGGCAGGGTAATAATAATAATAATAATAATAATAATAATAATAATCTTTGAATGTTCCAAACAAATAAACAGAGGAGCAGAAAGTACAACATGCTTTCTTCCCTCACTTGCTAAGAGATTCTGAAGTCTGTCCTGAGTCAAACCATGCAGCTCATCCATCTCTTTAGTCATTAAAGATGGCAGCACCTCCCCAGAATCACAGAATCTTTCCTAGTCTTGCTCCCCAAGTTCTCTCTTCATTACATGGAGATGTCAGAGTACAAACTGTGACCAACAGACACACAATATTGTCTGCTCTGTATTGACTGTTCTGACTGCCTAAGTTTACAGACATCTTTCCAGTCCTACTTAGCTATTCCAGGGACTGGACTTAGGACCTTCTGCATTGCAAAATGTGTCCTCTGTCACTGATCTGTGACTTTCCCAAAAGGCTTCTACTAAGACTAATGCAGATAAAATAAATCACAGAAGAGCTGGACCCAATCTTTGTAGGATTTATACGGTTGGGAACACAAAAATCAGGTATCAACCAGGTAACAATGCCTCCTGTAACTGGTAATTGTCCAATTTCCCAGTATGCAACACTTGCTAGTATTTTGGGAAACAATATATTAAACCTCACAGATTCTTCTTCATTTTAGGACTTAAGTGAGACCTGAAATTTTTTAGCCACAGTAGGGATGAAATTAACACAGACAAGCTTGGAAAGTTATATTACAGCTAGTTATTGGTGGTCACATGTATACATTTAAGCTTTGAATAAAATTGCTACAGATCGACTAGACTTATATAATTCCTGACCTTTTGGACCCAACATTCACATCTCTCCCCCCCCCCCACTGTACATGGATGTCCACATGTGTACTCAGGCACACATATTTTGGCTACCTGAGGAAACAATTCTGTTAGTTTATAGAGTGCTACAAGTCTCTCTGTTAACAACAACAACAACAACAACAACAACAACCACAACAATGAAAGTTACTACCATCATCACTTGGTGCCATTAGGTCTCAGAGTAGGTTACAACAATTTAAAATTCAGTATTAAAAACAGTTAAAACAATTTACAATCAGGAAAAAGTCATTTCCCTCTTCTTCACACATGCTAGTTACCCGGAGAGAGAAATACTGCAGAATTTTCCCTCCGCAAGTAGTTTCACAGTTTTAGTTTTAAAATGTCAAGATATGAACACAAACTAGCCTCTTGGACTGTTCTGAAGTTGTTTCCTTGTCAGAAGCAAAGAAAGAAAGAAAGAAAGAAAGAAAGAAAGAAGAAAGAAAGAAAGAAAGAGAAAAGAAAAAGTGTATCGAAATGGTAAGTTCTAAGTTCTAAGATGAAGATGAGGTAAAAATTATTGAGGGGGAAATGATGACAAATAATGAACACAGTTTCATTCAAATGGTATAGATGTTTCATAACAAGTGGGGAAAACTGGAGCATTAAGAGTATCCCCCCCCCAATACACATATACAAAATTGGGAGGAGAAAATGCACCAAGTCCCAGCAGAGGTCTAAACCGGTCTAAGCAAGTCTAAATAAACAACAACAGTGCCTATTGGGGGACTAGGAAATTAAAATGGGGAAATCGCGAATGGGTGTAAGGTGGGCAAACCCCGAACGGACAAACAAATCGTGTCAGCATTACCTAGGGAAAAAAGCAGCTGGCAGATGCCATTGGGGAACGCGGGTCTCTAGCTCCGACCACCGTCTCTAAGCTGCTGCCTGCGCTTCTCCTTCCAAGCTGAAGGGCTGCAGACCTCCTGTTGCAGAGCGCGCGAGGCAGGAGGATGACAGGCAGACATCTCCAGCGCACCGTGGGACATTCTGCTCGGAAGCAACACCAAACCATGCAAGCACTCTCCACCCCCCAATGTATTTTGATGACTCACATTTACACTTATCCCCTCTGTCCCAATGGCTGGCCGGGGATGGAGGCCAGCTCCGTGACCCCCCTCCCCTCCTCCCAGCTGAATAATACTCCGCTTTGCACTGTCCAGAAGCAGCAACTTCGCGGCTGCGGAGCTGATGCAGCTGGCTGGGTAGGATGCCCTTCGATTTTACCGTAATCTCCCGCCTCTTACCGTATTGCAGCATAGTGAAGAGCACGTTTGACAGTTGTCAACGTCTCTCTCTGCTGACTCTCCCTCCCTCTCTTCCCCTTTCCTCCACCTATTAGATGCAAAAGCAACGATAGAATTTGGTTCTTTAGCTGCCTCTCGTAACCACGTAAAATAATATTATAGCAACAATATTTGGGAAATGTTTGTGAGCTGTGCATTCACACCGGGCTCGTGTGATACAAAAAAGAAAAGGGAAATGCAGAAAAGGAAAAAAAGAACGGAGGGGGTGATGTTAGAACTATTGTAAAAAGCTTGGTGGTTTTTTTACGCAGAGGAAACTGTCACGATCTTTCTTGCTTTGGAGTACATTCAGAGGACCTGTTTATCGAGCATTTCCCTTGACTTCTTTGCAGGAAGGTCTGATAATATTGTATCCACCAAGTGCCATCGCACACTTCTCGGCGCATTTTCCTTATCGCAAAAAGTCCAATCTTTCAGGGAAGCGGGTTTATTGTGCAAGGCTTCCCTGTCAGCTGTAATGGAGCAGCCTGAATTTGCTGGCATGTGATTGAACGGTCCTCAAAATATCAGCGGCTTGGAAGTGCCATTAATTAAAAAGCAAAGCGAGATGAATGTGACCTCGCCTACTATCAGCACTGCGGTGCACATTCGCTGGCAAAATGTGTTCAAGCGGCTGTCAACCACACATGCAATTTGGGGCCAGCCCCCCCCCCCCGATTTACCCCAGCAAAGAACTTGCTTGATTGAAGATAATAGGCTTGAAAAGAATTCATTTAAAGAATAAAAGCTTCTTCTCTGAGTAGGAAAACTACGAGATGAAAAGAAAAGAAAAATCGGTGCAGCTATTGCCCCCCCCCAATGCGAGTGCTCTGAAGACCATCCATCTGATTCTGCTTATTCTGAGCACCGCATGTTCTCTACTTTTTCACAGTAATGAAAACCCTTATTGATCGATTCCCCTTCAGCTTCTAAAACTCGCACAAGCACTGTCTTGCCTTTTTCTTTCTTTGAACCTGCGCCTGGAAATAAGGCAGCCCCACCAAGCAAGGGAGGCTGAAAAACTCCACTGGAGTCAAAGTGAGGGCTTCGAAATCCTGAAATGACATGTGAAAAGCTGGCCAACAGAATGTATCAGAGCCCCTACATAGAGGGTTTGGCACATGGCACCAGCTGGGGCACACAGCCACCACCAATGCCAGAAGTGAGCACATGGCTCAGCTCTAAGATCAGTCCTAAGTTATTTCCTATTTGCACAGGAAAGCACTGCATTAAAAAGACTATTGATGCACACTGGTGCATCTTGCTAATGCCGGGAGCTTGCTGGGGCAACCCAATCAGAAGGGCAGGGTACAAATAAAAATAAAATAAAAATAATACAAATTAACTGAAGGAACTGAAAGCTCCAATTCCTAGAAATTCCTAACGCTAAACCAGAATCCAGGAGGCAAAGGAAGCTGAGGACATCCTCTAGTTCTTAGATATCACTTGATGTTGCAGTCATCAAATGATGAATTTGCTTATGGGAATCAGTTTGTATACTGCCAGTAATGTGGTTCAAGCAGGGGAAAGTAGGCATTATATTTCCTGTTCTTAATGCATGAATCCGGTGGTTTTGAGGCAGAGTTTGGTTTGGATGAAAGAAGGCTTATCAAGTGATCCACACACATAGATCCCGAGGAACAGATCTGAACTGGATTTAATTTATAAATCCACGACACAGAATGGCACATAGGATTAATGTTCTCTGTTTTTGGTTTTTTTGATTGCATCAGTACTGCTTTCTCAGCACCATAGAAGAATATCTATAAACTGGAGTCAGGTAGGTAGCTGTGTTGGTCTGATGTAGTCGATATTAAAAAAATATTAAAAGTTGTCCAGTAGCACCTTATAGACCAACTAAGAACAACTTAGTTATAAGGTCTACAAGGTGCTACTGGACTTTTTAAAATTTTTATATAAACTGGAGTGTATTTAGAGCAGGGTGATAGAGATTGTGAGGGGTCTGGAGAAATGATTGAAGGAGCTGCTAAGAAGCAATTAGGTAAGAAACAATAGCCTGGATAAGAAACAGGTAAGAGGCAATATGTAAAGGGCTATCACATGGAACAAATTTGTTTTCTGTTTTTCCAAGGAGTGGGACTCAAAAGAATGGGCTCAAATTACAAGGGGATTTCTACCAAACACTAGAGAGAAAAAATGATAGTGATACAGGCTGTATGACAAAGGAGTGGGTGGTGTATTTTCCTTCATTGGAGGTTTTAAAGCAGAGACTCAGTGACCACCAAAACGTAATTGTTATGTACTGAAGTTCTCACCCTGGGCCAGCAGGGGGATACTGTAGATGCAAATGAAGGATCAAAAGGGACGTTCAGTGATTGGATAGTTTTAGAAAGTTGTTACAGTAACGTGGTATTGGAGCTCTATATAAGCAGGCTGACTGAGCCCTTCAGCTCAGTTCTGTTCTGGCCTCTGAATAAACAAGAGCTGTTTGAAGAATCGCTGTGTCGTCTGATATGTTCACCCACAACTTAACCCAATGTTGTAATATTGGATATAGGAACCTAGCAATCTTCCTAAGGGTCCATTTAGTTCAGCACTGACTAGCAGGGTTCTCCAGGATTTCCGACAGAGGTCTCTCCCATGATGCCAGGAACCGAACCTGAGACCTTCTGCATATAACCATTGAGCTAAGGCACTTCCCCTGTAAGGTGAGTTGCATTGGTGGGGCTGGAATAGATGACCTGCAAAGTCCTATTCAGGTCCATAACTCTGTGATTCAGTAGCCAAGGATTGAAATGCATAGGTGTAGGATCACCAACCTTTTGGGAATTCTGTATACATTTGCAAAACTGGTTGACATTATATGCAACGCCCCAAATCAAAGAATGGATGGATAAAATATAGGATTTTGCTAGGGCCAAGCAGACAAATTTCTTAAAATATCAAGAAGGAAGAGAGACAGGGCATTTTATTATTATTTTTTGTAAAGTTGAAGGTGTGTTGATTACAGTAAAAGATGCCCTTTATTACCACACATGGAGGGACGCAGGTGGCGCTGTGGGTAAAACCTCAGTGCCTAGGACTTGCCGATCGTATGGTCGGCAGTTCGAATCCCCACGGCGGGGTGAGCTCCTGTTGTTCGGTCCCAGCTCCTGCCCACCTAGCAGTTTGAAAGCACAATTAAGTGCAAGTAGATAAATAGGTACCGCTTTCTAGTGGGAAGGTAAACGGCGTTTCCGTGTGCTGCTCTGGTGCTGGTTCGCCGGAGCAGCTTCGTCACGCTGGCCACGTGACCTGGAAGTGTCTGCGGACAGCACTGGCTCCCGGCCTATAGACGGAGATGAGCGCACAACCCTAGAGTCTGTCAAGACTGGCCCGTACGGGCAGGGGTACCTTTACCTATTACCTTTACCTATTACCACACTTATGTTTTGAGTTCGCAATGTATTCATGGCTAATCTGGTAGTAAGTAGTAAGCATTGCAGTACACATACTGCATGCCTTTACTAATTTTAAATGTGCTTTGGGAAACAGTCCTAGACTGATTAGGTGTAGTGGCTTTCTCCTGGCACAATAAGCAATTTCATATCAATTTCTTGTTCTGTTATCACCTATGTATTAACATTGTCAAATGATGTTGAGTAGTAAATTATGAAAAAAGGGAGAGAAGGCAATCAGCAGCTTTCTCAGAACATGTGGAGGAAGTGCTTCCACCCCTGTGTCCGTCCCCACTGGCTGGAGCCTGGGTGTGCATCCTGGAGTTTTCCAAGTGGTTGGGAACCTGCACAATTGGGATTCCCAGTGATCCAGAGGATTCAAGGTGTGTTTGGCTGGGTGTGTGAGGATTCCCTCTTTGGAACTTCCCACTCAGTGGATAAGGGTCTGGGGTGGGGTTGCTGGCGATGGGGATGTTGTGGGGAGGCTATCTTATATTGCTTTCTGTCACCTGCAGACAGTGGCGTAGCGTGGGGGGTGCAGGGGGGGCCGGCCGCACCGGGCGCAACATCTGGGGTTAGGGCAAATCCATGGGTTAGGGGGCGCAAATCTACGGGTTAGGGGGCGCAAATTACTTGCCTTGCCCCGGGTGCTGACAACCCACGCTACGCCACTGCCTGCAGATAAGCCCACTGGGGGAGGGTGTTAATGTAGAAGTGGCTTCTTCTTATGAGGGTGTTTTGCAAGAGAGACATTTTTACATGCAGCTGCAGAGTAATATGTAGTTATGCCCTGAGTCATTTGGAGGAAGTGTTAGTTACAAAGGAGCTCAAGAAAAAAAATGAGTCTCCAGCACTGTCGCAGTTTTGATTTATTTATTTTTTAGCAAACCATACAAATATAAGATCTTTTCTTCTACTCTCTCACTGAAAGATATTTGAGACCTTGTCCTGAATACTGAGCACGCTATATAACAAAATCCAGACAAATAAGGAATGGTTGAAGGAAGGTTTTTCCTTTTTCTGCAAACCTTCTGCACAAAAATTTCCTACAAGGGTCAAAAGCCTAGCCGGTGTTTTTGCTCAAATGTTTTGAAATGGAGCAAGTGATGATGTCCCAGATTGCGTGGATTGGGAGAATCTCTGGGTTTCATGTCCATAGTATGCAGTTTGTAGCAAATGTTACATTTGAGTGGATAGAAAGCAAGACAAGCACTTGATACAATCATCTATAATAGTTGATGGAAATATTTCTGCCAACCTCCAGGCGTAAACTAGGCCATCACATGTCACTGTGGAAGTTTCCTTGGTTTCTTGAGTGACTGCCATTACAGACCACTACTCAATTGTAGAGATGACTTTCACATATGTGCACCAACGAGTAATCTCTGTGTTATTCTGTAATTTATTTTTTTAAGAAAGCGCATTAAAATGCACATACAAATATTTCTAAATGAATTTTCTCTCAAAAGATGCATTTCTATACATGTTTTCTCT